AAAGTGCGTTAGTTATCGTTGTGGAATGATGCGTAGAATCATGGGAAAACATACTAGCGTTGAAAGCGGTATCCGAGCCGATGTTGATGAGCGAGAGCAGAACCGTGATGGCACAGGTAACGGTTACAGCGTTGGCGGGAACCTCCAACTTGGGGTTTACCTTGCTGATCCAGTCGCTGAATGGCAGTCCCCTATCTCTGGCAAATGCCCAGGTCTGACGCGATGTCGACAAGTTGAAGGTCACAGTACCGGCAAAGATGAGGACTGTGGGAATAGCGTTGAGGGCTACCACACCGCCGGAGGATACGGCTTGGGCAAAGACCCACATATGGGGATAGTCGCCCTCAAGCGCAGCTTCGACATCTGTAACCATGAACATGTAGCTGATGAGGAAGATTATGCCAAGAGAGCCATTCATAAGGTAAGCGCCGATCATTGCGCGTGGGACAGTCTTGCCAGCATCTTTGATCTCCTCGGCCATATGGGCTGCAGAGTCAGAGCCTGTGATCGCTCATTAGTACAATCTCAATGAGAGTTCTTGGCAGAGAGGTATACTTACAGATGCAAGCATAGATGGCAGACACTTGGCCTACCATGAGCGCCAAACCATTCGAGTTCCAGCCTCCTCCGTTGTAAAACTGCGTGAAGGTTGCTTCAGCAGTAGCCCGTGGCGACAAAACCCAGAAGACGATGATGATGGCCAGGAAACCAAAAACGTGAACGATCAACATGATGTTCTGGAAGATAGGCATGCCCTTTGCGCCCCAGATATTAAGGACCCATACCAAGAAGGTTACGGCGATGACCATGAGTGTACCCTGCCACTTGGTAGCCACATACTCTGGGTACATTACAGTGGCAGAAGATTGGATCAAGGTACCGACAAGGAAAGGTCCAGATGCAGTACCGGCCTGCCATGATAATGTTGACATCCAGCCGATGAAGTAGCTGAATGGCTTCTGGACACTAGGAGGCGAGAATTCGGAAACCCAGTGGTACTGTCCACCTGCGGTCGGTGCCATCGACGCCATCTCTGCGAGTGACAGCATGACGGTGCTGAAACCGAACCAGGTCCAGACGAAACTCCAGATAAGACCTGCTGGACCTCCATCTTGGAGACCTTGGTAGGTTGCACTATGGCGTTATCAGTTCTCATTGCCTGTGAGTCTCATTAAGGTTGCTTACGTCAAAAGAACTTCCCATGTTCCTTGTAGAATAACGGTGAAGGCCAATGCTGACAACGGTCGATAATTTCTTTTCAGCTCTTGCACCTTGCCCATACGCTCCATGTCAGCATGATCGGCTCTGGTGTAACCCCTGAGAGAATCATGGTACTCTTCGCTCTCGTCTCCGTCGATAGATCTCGTCGCACGCGCTCGCGACTCCAAAGTAGTCTGCTTGTCCATACTCCCAAGCGGTTGGCTCTCGTAAGCGGCCATACCCAAAGCACAACAAAAAGGAAGCGAATATGCAGGAACGCAGCGCCACGGATAAACTTAAAAAGGACCCAAGAAACAGGTAAAGATGGAACAAGCGAAACGCTGCGGTAGAAGTAAAGAAAGGGATTTCCCACGCGGCCACGAATGCATGCACATGCTGGGAGATGGACTGGCCCAGCTGGTGCCAAATGCCTTGTCTGCCGCTTCCACGGGTGGGACCACTAATCCCAGACTCCATCGTACTCCCGGCATATTCTTGTCAAGCGGAATCAGGGTTCAATGGGCGCAGGTGTGCTCGGGTGCACATGCCAGCCAACGAGATCGTCGCGGTGCTGATAGCGTCCACTCCGGCTGCGTCGTATGGTTGGCGTGGAGTCTGTCCAGGCTCCACTACCCTGCCGCTAGCGCGACACTATGCGGCCCGCTTCCTCTTATGGGGGTTTGGTGCGGCTGGACCCTAGTCTAGAGAGGCAGGAGTCGTGGATTGATTGCATGCAGCCACATCTGCCGCGGCTCATGTAAAAAGCAAAAGGCGCCGAGATGACAAGCCGTAAGAGGCGGAAGTCACGTAAGAGCTTCGGAAGAATTCGTTCTGGACCTTCTGCCGCCTCGCGTGGTGATGAAACAGGATCGACTCCAGATTGGCGAGTTGCTGATCATCGAATGATTTGTTGCTTCTGTAACCGTTTTCATGCTAAGACGGACATTAATATCAAATCCGTCTGTGGCAGCCGAGCGGAAAACCCGTGGGAGCGGTAAAGTTTGAGAATTTTTACTTGTTCAACCGTTCAGTAAACCGTGAACGCAAAGCTAGGTATCCGCAAGCTATCCGCAAGCTATCCGCAAGCTATCCGCAAGCTATTCCACCTCTTATCAGCGTATTGTAGGTTGCGGCTGACATTCCGCAAAACGCCGCGCCTTCGTATGCGATACGGTGGCGCTGACGCCAGCAAAGGCCAATCGACTATTATGCGTTAGAGGTCTTGGTTATGCCTCGCTTAGGATCATGGGCCTTCTTCAACAGATCCGTCCCGAGGTCGTGAACCGTGTACATGGGTTACAATCGGTCCTCCTATTAGCGATGAGAATGAGGAAGCACGCAAGGAGGGTAATGGGCAGGAAGATCCGCGCCCGTTCTTATTGGTGTTAGGCATTCAACCACAGGAGAAATAGGTCATGTCAGACGCGGCTTCAGCTGTATAGAGCCCGAAGTGTCCTCCGACTGTGCGTCAGACATTGCTCACATCTTATGGCCTCCTTTCTGTTGTACTTTTGCCCATTGTTCTTCTCCCTGATACTCCATGGCAGGAGAGGTGATCCCTCCGCCGTACGTTATAACAGCGGATGACAAGCGCGGCCTGATCGTTGTGACCGGTGCAGCTGTCTTGGCCTTTGTCTGGTCTTGTTTTCTCATTCGAGTATGGTTGCGCTGGCAATCAAGAGAATGGCGATCCGATGGTAAGTCTTCCTTACATTGCACTGCCTGCACAAGTCGAGACGATATGCTTATCTTGTGTGCGCAGACTGGTGGCTCTCAGCGGCAACCCTGCTGGACACCGTTCAATCAGGCATCATCTTCCACCTGGTAGAGCTTGGATTAGGTGCCTCGCAGGCTGGTGTACCGATATCGCAACTCCAGCAGCTTGGGAATGTGAGTGACGTTTAGTTTAAGTGATTCAGTGATCTCCCTAGATCCGCGCCTAGGTGTCATCGGCTCCTTGCATCCTTCTGGCGTTTACGCAGGGCAGCCGCCCGAGCAAAAAGCCGAACAGCTAGGAACACCACGGCTGACACTCGCAACAGGAAGGTTTCGCGTCGCAAATCATTTATATCTTTGTGATACTCGCCTCGAAGTTATCGGTGCTGTTCCTGTACCTACGACTATCGCCTGGTGGAGCGCACCGCATCGCATCATGGTCACTCGTAGCCTTGTCCTGTGTATGGGCACTGGTGTCGGTCATATTGGTTGCCATACCATGTAACCCTGCACAAACCTACATAGATGCTGACAACTGTACAAACAGGGTAAGCGATACAAAGTCCCGAGAACTATCATTCGTCTTTGCTGACGACCAAACAGTGGCCAAAATGGCTGAGTATAGGCACCTTCGACATCATAACCGAACTCTTCATCTTCCTCGCAGCAGTCTACCTAATCTACTCGCTCCAAATGCGTCTTCGCACCAAGCTGCTCGTAATATTGGCCTTCGGCGCACGCCTACCTGTCATCGCAATTGCAGGAGTACGCCTATATTACCTCGATCAACGCCTGCGCGGGGTCACTTTCACCTTTGACTACGTCGTAGCCACGCAATGGCAAATGGGCTACGCAATCATGTCATCCACAATTACGGGCATGGGCCCCTTTCTCAAGCCTTTCGACAAGGAGTATGTGTCTAGTACGTATAAGCACTATGGACCGGGACATAGCTCGAGTGGTGGGACGTCAGGAATGAGAATGGAAAGTGGACTTAGTACGACTGCGAGTACCGGTTTACCACCGAGGAGACAAGGACTTGGGCATCACCATCACAGGGGATCTACGGATAACATCTCTGAATCCTATTTGATGGACACACTGCCAAGTCGGCGGACGAGTAAACAGTCCATGGGAAACGAAGATCGCGCCAACTCTCTCGAACCGATGCAGTCGGGTAGTCCGTCGTCTCGAGCATCTCCATCTGCGCCAAATGACATCTTGATGACGGCAGATGAACACTTTCGTCCCGCGCACATGTATCGTGGACATGAAGCAGAAGTCTGGGTCGGAGATAGAAGCCAGAGCATTACGAGGGAGGAGATGGAAAGAGCTACCGCTTCCGGGAGAAGTGCACCCAAGTCTGGAACCAAGCTGGTGATTGGGGAAAAGAAGGAGTTTAAGATCGAGGTTGATCGTGTTAGTCGTCTTATCTGAGTCTCGCTATCTTATGCGGACTTTGGTTGCGTTAAACTGAGTTAGAATACCCCTCTGTACTTTGCGTTATTTTAGTCGAGATCCAGCAACAAACGGAGGATACTTTATATAGACGAACTCATGACGATAGATATCTACAAATCAAGAGCCTTTCAACAAGGCATTTGTGGTCAGCGAGAAGAGTCATGTTCCTGGAATCTGCTTCTGCTGTGACAAAGGAAGGGGTAAAGACAGGGATATCATATCTGTTTGTTGTCCTGCTGTCATGTGCTAGAGCCTCAGTCATTTTCGGGTTCCATCATTGCACGGTAGTACGGCAAAGGTTGTTACAAACACGGGTTGTCAAAACTCCTCATTCCGATGCGAACCTATAATACAGCAAGCAAAACTAGCAGTCCCTGACCATACGAGCTTCCCATTGTCCCGCCCGGGTCAACAGTCAAGGTGAATATCCTGGTAAATAGCTTTTCCGGTTCGTTCCATGCTCTCTATACTTGTGCCCATGGCCGGGAACAGTTGCTAAGGAAAAGAACACGGGTAATCGCAAATCGAGGTGTAGAGAAATGTTGTGGTCGCCGCAACAGAGGGCCAACCTCAACGTGGGGGAATCGGTCAAATATTGTGAAAAGGTTCATCTAGCGATGCGTCTATGCGGAGAATCGGCGCATGACCTTGGCGATGACTAGTGAGAGTTAGTATGATACTGGTCAGCGAGGATTGGATGTTCATACCGTGCAGAGCGACGACACTGAAGATGAAGACAACGGACAGGGTCATGACCACAACGGGGTCGACCTTCAGACCGGGAGACTCATCAGTGTATAGCCCTACAAGCAAACGTTAGCCAAGTCCTCCAATGTCATCTCTGCTAATCGTATTGTGTCATATCCTCTACTGTCATCCTCAAAACAGCTCGCTCTTTGTAGCTTCCATCTCTTCTCGTGATCTGTCCACCTCGGGGCACACTTACTCAGCATAGTGCTTGAGCTACCACCGGCACCGGCCGCCCTTGTGCTGCTTGGACGCAGGTTTGCGGTCTTCTCGGCGCGGTCAGCGGCAGCTTTCCTTCGCATAACAGTCGCAGGGCCACCCGGGGGCTTTGGCGACGCAGGACGCGCGGTTGTCGAGCCTGAAGAGGCCGTGTTGGAGGGAGAGGTAGCGCGTGGGGCAGACTGTTGGCCATGTTAGCGATGATGTTCGGTATTCATGTTCAGCCAGCCTATGCAGCCTATGGCACGGAACTTGTTGGACGCATCGACGAAACCCTGCGGGGCGAGGGAAAGATACACAACTCGAGGAGTAGCAGGGCGTCAAGTTATGTCAACAATTATGCCGGCAAGTGCTCGTACTGCTGCTCTCCTGTCGCATGCTTCGTGTCGCGAGCCAGGTGTCCTCATGCGTCCAATGGCTTCCTCCGTTATCGAAAAGGGCGGTACTAACCATGGTGAGAGTTGTTGACGGTGACCGGTGGAGAATAGACGGAGTGGGTTGTGATGGGAGATGTCGTGGAAGCAGCTGGTGATAGTCGCTCGGCGAACCTCAAAGGCCACGATTCTGGAGCTGGGGTTGCCGCGCCGCGCTAACCCTGACCCTCGACAACTTCGCTTACAAGGCCGCTAGCAAGGGTCACGTGTTAGTTCACTCACCACGGTTGCAATTTCCCCGAATAGGCAGGAAGATAATCACTATGCCAAATGGTGAAAGTCCACTTGAGAGTGTTGCGTGCGCATATTCACTACAAGGCGTTCTGATCCCAAACCACTTTTCCCATTAGACCGTTAGATGTACCAGGCCAAATAGCGTCCCAGAATCATCCGTGTAGGACCAAGCCTATCCTCTGATGATGCAGATGCCCTCAGCCAGACCCGAAAAGCTAGCAACCGGTAATAGCAAGTCATCCCTAAGCAAACTCCCGCAAGCCCCGTAAACCCATGTTGACCCTAAACCTGCCTAGCAAAACCCCGTGTAACCGCCCGTGAAAAGGTATATTATCTTCAGCAGACCCAGAGATGTGGAATGTAGACGGGTATGCCCAACAGCACCGCCAAACCCACAGAAAATATTCGCCAACCACCAATTGACCGGGTCCACCCATGGTTGTGTGTGTGAAAGACCGACACAGAATGCCCGAGACACCTGAAATGCAGTAACTCCGGATGTGCATCATATCTCCCAAATCAAAACTCCGTTTTCTAACCCCAAACAGACGCCTGCACTCCCTGTGTGGGCGTGTTGCTCCAGGGTCCGTTGTTCCAAATACCAACGCCCTTGTCAGTGACAGTAGACGAAGGGTTCATAGACGCAGATGTCGTAGACATGTTGTTCTGCTCGCTCGCGTTGTACGAGTTGTAGCCGAGAGGCGACGGCAGAGGTGAGTTCGCGCGCTTGCCCATAGCGCCACCTGGTTGCTGCAGGTTCTGGTTCTGAGGACGAGTGCCAATGGGGGCAACGCCAGAGCCGTTGGACTTCTGACCAGGCACAGGAGGAGAGCCTCCGGGCGACGAGTTGGAGGTACGGTTCGCCTGCTGAGCATCGAAGAGGTTGAATGCTGGGTTCTGGCTACCAGAAGGTGACGAGGTGCTGTTGGCACGCGCATCTTGAGCATTACCAGCAACGTCCTTGTCGCGGGGAGGCATCTGGACGGAACCCTCACCGGAAACGTTCTGGGCCTGCATGCCGAAGGGATCAAAGGCGAGGGGAGACGGACCCCGACCAGCTTGCGAGGTCTGAACACGAACATCCTGGCTCGAGGTCGGGTTGCTGTTGTACAGGGTGGAGGTCTCGCCATACAAAGCACGGTGCTGGCGGGCGATGAGTTCGCGGCGCTCCTCTTCATTCATGGCATTGGGGCTCATGGAGCGGTCGGACTTGGAGGCTGAGCCTGAAACGTCTGTATTACCCTAGTCAACCAACTGTCCTGCTTCTATTGTTGCCCAGATTCCGAGTCCTTACTTCTGTGGTATTGCTGCTCCTGGTGATAGTTGCGCAGCTCACGCTCACGCTGAGCCGCCATCCGTCGCTTCGCCTGTGCCATCTGGTCTGCATCGTTGGGTCGCGGCGCATAGCGCTGATTCTGGTAGAAGCCCTGGACGTTGGACGCCGAGTGGGAGCGGGAGCCGTCGTACTCGCTGACCGAGTGGTGGCGCTGGGCGCCGCCCATGCGCTGTTGCTCTGTATCACATGTCAGTCATGCGGGGACGATTATGAGCAAGACTGCATACCGAAGTCGGGGTATGGGCGGGGGCCACCTCCCATCATGGGCATGGACTCGCGGCGGTTGGCACCCATGGGCGTAGGAGGGAAGCCGGGACCGAAGGGCTTGCCGCTCTTGGCAAGGTTCTCGATGGCGCGGTCGACCTCTGTGGTGTTGTTGTTAGCACTCGGCTACGGGGCTCGTCTATGGTTACCATGGGGCCTGTCACTGCCACGTATCGTCGCATTGGCACTGGCAGCCCCCACTATAAGAAGCAACGTACCCTCAAACTGCGAGGCAAAGGCATTGGCGACCTCGCTGTTGACCGTGGAGCTTGTGCCTATATCCATGTGAATCGCTGCACCTGCACCGTTGAATCCCATTTGGCCGGTACCTGATCGCGAGGGTGGTTGGGGTTGCTCCCACGATGACTGCCGGCCGGGAGCAGGCGTGTTCCACGATGCGTCGTTGTAGTAGGACATGTTGGGTAGGAAGAAGTCGGGTGGGTTATTCGGAGTCGGGGTAGTCGCGCAACGCCAAAGGGTTGGTGGGTGGGTGATACTAGAAACTGAATCTGGGAGCAATTGATTAGTACGGCTACTCCTTGTCAACAAGTGCAAGCATCAATCGGCACAAGAGGTTCGAGCGATTGTCGGCGGTCGGACGCAGGCAAGTGTTGGCGATATGGGGGCGGGAAATGAGGTCGAGGCGGGCAGCGGAAAATTTTGGTGGAGAGCGGAGATGTTTTGGAGAACAGGGTCGTGCCGCGTACCGAGAAAAGCGAACCGTGTACTCACCTTTCACCGCGAAAAAGGAGCGACAGCTGTTCACTTAGCAGACAGCAAGTGAAGTCACCGAGAAAAGCACACAACTGAGCGGGTAGGGGTCAGGGAGGCACTTCGGGAGATATCGCGGGACTGCTGAGGATTATGTCGAAAGGGGATGCTGGATTCGTTGCGCTAAGCAGGCCGAGCAACGACCTATCCACTTAATTCATCTCCGCTTCTCAGACACGGGCCTCACCAGCTGCATGCAATTAGTCTGATATCCCATTCGATCCCGTCCGCAACCAACCGCTTACTCTTCGTATCGCGACAGACGCGCCGCAGCCTTGCCTTGGGGGATCTCTTACTGTCTCTCGAGGCCTGGCTCTGCGACTCTACCAGCAGTCGGCCAAGTGGAAGAGCATGCGGATGACGTCCGAGAGGGGCAGCTGCATATCCAAGTCGAGTACTGCGGGATATGCAGTGGGAGAGCAGTGGGCGCGTTTAGCGAACAACGGTTCGGGCTCTCACCACCATGGTCTGTCGTCGGCTATTCATGAGAAAGCCCCGCGCGCCTCCTTTACACGTGGTTTTCCCAGACCCTCCCTGTTTGACTCTGTTTTGACCCTGACATTCTCCCGACTCAGGGTCTGCATCATGTCTGTCATGCTGTTAGACACTGCGTCGTCGCCATCACCTGCGAACTCAACGTTCGCAGTGCCCCGCCAACGCGCCCGGGACGGTAGCGATGCCAAACCGACGCATGCCACACCGCATTGCCAGCATGATCACTTACACTACACCATGACAAGATATGTGGGAGCGCTTGGGCTCTAATGCGGGGCATCCAACGACCATTGCGGCCTGGCTTCCAATAAGCTCCCACCAAAGCCAGGCATTTGTGAAAATATTGACATGTGGCTTGCTTCTCCGTCGTAGCACATGCACATGGACCGAGAGAGATAATACCATCGGTGTGGTTGTCGCCTGCGTCTACTGTGTATCTTGCGCAGAGGGTACCGACATGGCCAGCTTCGGTGCCGGCTTTGTTTCCAGATGAGGTTTAACGATATTGAGATAGTAACGCCCTGCACGCCGAGCTTCGCATGCTGATACGCGACGTCAGTCTTGCAAGATGTGGGGGTTCGGAGTGCGTTGCCGGTCGCTAGACAAGACAGTCATTATACAACGACGGCATCATCTTTTTTGAGACACCTCACGGCGTAAGCAATATCACCATGGCTCGTGCGGAGAGCAAACGAACCCAGACAGGGGCACGACCCATTCGGCTAAACATGCGCTCCCGCCTCTACCCCAGCTTTTTGTAGTTCGCCAACTTGGCCTACGTCCCGCCGTTGCGCCATCGCCTTCAAAAGTAAGCCTGGCATATGTCATCCGTGCTGAGGTCACGGTGTTCTCACTTCTCCGTCTGCCCAGTCGTTTCTTTGCTTTCCATTTCCGTCTCCATGACATTGTCATCACACCGTTCGCGTCGAAAGCTCTTTCCTCTTTTGCTTCCATAGCATCACGCGCCACAAACCACGGGTGTTGGTATCACTTACGACATCAGCCACACTGTCGACATGACCACCTATTCTACATTCCAACAAATACGCCCGACAGGCCCATCACGCATGACGGGGTGCAAGGAGCCTCTCACGCATAAAGTATGAGACACGCTCCTTCGAAAGGAGGCGGGATTATGGATGCCTATTAGCACCGATTCCGCAGGCCTGATGGACGAACGCTGTTTTCTTTCACGGTAGGACGTGAATTCCCACAACGCTGACAAGACCGAGTGAATGTCATCAATATGGCTACGCAAATGGATCTCGCCATGTGCGCGAGTGTATTACATCAACCTCTTCTTACGCTTCTTTTCTACCAGCAGAATGCAGATGCGAAAACCTACAGTGTATCAACAGACACCTGTGACAAAATCTCAAGCTGCCATGGCTCTAAATATCGCATGTCTTGGGAGCCTGCCGACTGAACTTATCCTCGAGATCACCGACCGCCTTGCGCTCGACGCCATACTGGCCCTCAAATTGACTCAACGACGATTCAACGATATCCTGCCTCTCGATCAGAGATGTTGGCAGGTTCCTTGGTCAAGGTGTGCCCAGCGCGCTATCCAGGTTTATTTGACCCCATCGTCATCTAAACTCAGTCATCGACATTGCATCGTGTGTAACGCTGAGTATCCCATCAGCCAGTTCAAGTCATCGAACAGTCCGGCTTGCGCGCCCATGGAGCATACCAACGTCCCCCACGACATCATCAAATTACCACCACGAGTCTGCTTCTGGCATGTTGGAAGGTTTATGAGAATTGTCAGTCACGAGGCCGGGAACAAAAATGGATGGGTCAGCCACGCAGACAAAATGTGCATGCACTGTGGAGATATCCAGGGGTGGGACAAGTGCGAATGCAAGTGTGACAGCTGTTCTTTCTGGGAAGTAACAGTCTACATTCGACATATCAACGATGGTCAAAAATGTCGAAACCCAGTCTTCTGGAGAAACGCTCCCAGCTCACGCGTTAGAGGGGAGAATCAACTTTGGGTTCGGGAAGAACTTTGGGACGCAAACGAGAAACGATTTGTTGACTTGCCTGTTCGATTTGAGTCAGCCTAACCGATGGATGGGTGCGTTTGGCATCGAGCTCCAGTCAGCTTTTCTTCGTTCTTGTGTGCTTCACTTCTAACAAGAGCCGGTCTCCCTAGTTTTGTTTGTAATATTTAATTCGTTATATCATTTAGAATCCAGTCTTTTCGTCATAGATCATGTCATCCTCCTCTTGTACAAGGCCACCTTTCTCCACATCCATCTCTTTAGTCTCCCATTGGCATCCCAACTCTTGTCCCCATCTCCGCACGCTGAACAAAGCCCACCATTGGGCGATCATCAAAACCAACCCCACGCAGGCGCCCCCAAACTTAACAACAGCAAACGTTGTCGAGCACTTTTCCAACCACTCATCGTCCCATCCAAAACCGGCATCAATGTCGCGACATATCGACGATCCGTCGACAGCGTAGCTCGGAATTACCGGGTTTAGCAACCGGAAGTCGAAGGGAAGAACCAGGTTTACGAGAGCGATGGTTACAAAGGACAACGTGGTCGCGTGGATGATTGTGTAAGCTGACACGAGGCTTGGTAATAACTGCAACATCGGGTGTTAGCGGATTCATGTGACGAATGGACTTGAGACTGCGACTCCGAGCGAAGCCGGCTGGACACAGCCAAGTAGACAGCTAGCAAACAGTCGCACAGGTCGTGGGGAAGAGCTTGGCTTACCCTTACGGCGCCTAGGAGGCCCAATATGCTTGCGCTGCCGGCAAGTACATTGTATGAGATGGAGAAAGATGCGCGGTCGAGGTCGGAGCCGGGTAGTAAGAAGGACAGCGCGAGTAATGTATGCGTGCAGAGAGTGAGGGAAGGGAGCACGATGGCTAAGAATCTGGAGACCATGTCAGTACCCGTCGCGTGTCGCAAACCTTGGGCAAGCGCGACATACCTCATCTGGTTCTGCTCTGTCGACAACGCCATGTCTTCCCACCGGATTCAGTAATCAAGATTCAAGGTAAATGTAAATGCGCTTGCTGGAGACTCAAAGTAACAATGCGAAGCGATGCGGTACAGTGTGAAGCGGAAACGGCCGTGTAAAAAGCAGATCAGGTCAAGTACGTCAGGTTAGGTTCCGGGGGTATCAATATGCAGTCGGGACCAAGACAGCGGGTAGGAGACAGAGAGGAGAAGCAGCAGGCCGGCACGCTTATTCTTGTATGTATAGAGCCGTAGCAGCTAGCTAGCAGAGTAAAGAGGAAGGTTTTGTGAGCAAAAAGCTACGACGCGTGAGTAGTAAGGTGATGAGTGAGGTCAGTTGCCTGGATTCGCCGAAGACGGATTGTTAATCGCGTTGGTTGTTCAGAGTTTAGCAGTGTTTTTAGTACTAGCTCCGGGATCCGCGGATGCACCAAGAGATCGTGTTGTGATGTCACGTCTGTGATCGATTTGATCATCAGAAGACACAGACCACGCAGTGCACACTGTTTTTACTTGAAACGGAGGGCTTCGGGCCTCGACGTGACTTTGATGCGGTTTCCTCAAGTCATCCTGAAGACGCGTTGCAATTATTCGTGTGCGTGTGTGTGTGTGTGCCTGTTATCATCGGGATCTAGCACTAGTTGTACATGCAGCACACAAGCAGTCTAGCCCTTGCCATGCCAATGCGGATCATGCGGCATGCGGCTGTTCCAGTGGAGCATCTTCCGGAGCTTAGCGGAAACAAGAGAGAAGCAGAAACGGCAAGACCTAGATCACAAGCGCGTCATTCCATGGCCTTTGTACAAACGTTATCTCGGTCTTTTGGACATGTCAAGCCGCACTTGTACGGCTGTCGGCAGTGCAGTCGTAGTGCATTTGATGGGCTTTTGCCCATGGCATTGTTGAAATGTGCATCCGCAGCTGACGGTAGATAGCCGGATGTGCGCACTTCCTTATTCCGTGGCGAATCACGTCGCGCTGCGAACGAGCACCCTGGTCGTCGATACAGAAGATTCCAGCTTGCGGACCATGGGCTGTTTCACGCATATGAACTGTACAAGAGATCAGGATAAATGCACAAAGCGAGTAGAGCATCTGGACTTTCCCCGTCACCGTCGAGTGGATGCGTTAGTCGCATATGCCCTAAGCTTAGTTGACAGCTATGACAAT